GATTTTTAAAAATCATCATACGTGTAAGCGAGGCTCGCTACCCCTTATGTAGTGCATGTGCAATGGTTAACATGTCACCTAGTTTGTAGTAAGTGATTCCTCTACACCACCATGGAATGATCCCGCTTGATGCTTTCATGTTTGAGCCTATTTAACCATATTTTTGATGTTGGACCTTTAAGAGTCACTTGGGTATTGGGATAGATCATATTGTATTATTATCATTATTTGTTTTTAGAACAATTCCGTTTTGTTTTGTTGTATTTGTTTGAAGTTTATTGATCTTATTTAGCTAACCATTTATTGGCTTATTTGTTTATGTTGGATTTTGAATTAGTTGCCGGTTAATAAACCCTTTACCTTTGAGTTAGGGTCCATATACCATTTTTCTTGAATATGGGCCTATAAAAACATTTATCTTGCTTTATTAAAACCTTTGGTAGCTTTATTGTTTTGAATTGATATAGGAGGTTTGATTTGAGTGGAATGATTTACATAATTACTTACTCGAAATGAATCAATCTTGTGTGTTCTCGGTAAACATTTCATTATTTTGACATGTTATCACATTGAAGACTTTAGAGAGGGTAGAAATTAACCAATAAAATTAAAAAAGTCATGTTAATTAATCCTTCCTCACTATTTTAAAGAAACTAAATATTTTTTTCGAATTCAGAACATTTATTTTTCTTACTTAAAGACTCTAAAATTGTTAGGATTTAAAATCAATTGATTTTAAAATTTAAATAACCCTAGCGAGGACTGTTTCATAATTTGGTAATTATCACTACCATTAAATTTAATTAGTTAAAACGGAAAATGACTCTTGAGGGTAATTAACTTTTGCGTTTGTATTCATTTGGTTCCTTTCCTTTTTTTTTTTTGTATTCAATATACCATTGAACTTGTTGTTTGTGTTCACCATAACCCTTTTGACCGGCTTTTGACCCGTGATTGTCGGTCAAATGGTTATGGTGAACACAAACAACAAGTTCGGTGGTATATTAAGTACAAAAAAAAAGGAAAGGGACCAAATGAGAACAAACTCAACAGTTGGTTACCTTTCTGAGTCATTTTCCCCGAAAAGTTAAATGAAATTAAAGTTGCAAAATTATCAAAGACTGCAACCTTCTTTGACTACAACGTATATGAAGAGTGTTTCAGAGGGGTAACTTCGTTAAAACTTGGTCTATGTTATGCTTACTGTGGTTAGTTGTCAACACCTTTCTTCAAAAGGATATGATTGTGTATGAGAGATATATTTATCAGCATAAACATTTACCTCAAGGTATATTATGGTGATGTGTCTGCAAAAGCAGCATGATATTGTACATATTGATGTTGTATCCCATCCCATGAATTCGATCTTAAAGCTAAGTAAACTAAAAAATCATAGCACTTGTGATTCCACTCGTTTATAGTTTTGTCTAGAATCCATGATACGATAAATCATTCGATTGGAAATGTAAATGTAGTCATGAAATGCGCCTGCTTGGTCAAGATTCCCCTAATAAATATTCAAGTGCATTACAAAGTTATACATGTCTGAATAGTGTTCTTTCGTGGGTTATGTTTTGAAGAGAAGCAAGAATGAATCTCATAAAGTCATTAATATCAGTAGGAGATGACGTGTGATTTGCTGTAAATGAGTAAAGGGAAAATGACTCAGGAGGGTAACCAACTGTTGAGTTTGTTCTCATTTGGTCCCTTTCCTTTTTTTTGTACTCAATATACCATTGAACTTGTTGTTTATGTTCACCATAACCCTTTGACCGGCTATCACAGGTGAAAAGCCGGTCAAAAGGGTTGTGGTGAACACAAACAACAAGTTCAATGGTATATTGAATACAAAAAAAAAAAAAAAAAAAAAAGACCAAATGAGTACAAACGCAAAAGTTAATTACCCTCAAGAGTTATTTTCCCTAGTTAAAATATATAATAGATGACTAATATGGTAATTAACCATTATCTGAATTTTATCAACTCCTATAAAATATCTTTATCTCTACTAGCTTAACATGTCACCTAGTTTGTAGTAAGTGATTCCTCTACACCACCATGGAATGTTTCCGCTTGATGCTTTCATGTTTTAGCCTATTTAACCATATTTTTGATTTTGGACCTTTAAGAGTCACTTGGGTATATCATATTGTATTATTATCATTATTAGTTTTTAGAACTATTCCGTTTTGTTTTGTTGTATTTGTTTGAAGTTTATTGATCTTATTTAGCTAACCATTTATTGGCTTATTTGTTTATGTTGGATTTTGAGTTATTTAGCTAACCATTTATTGGCTTATTTGTTTATGTTGGATTTTGAGTTATTTAGCTAACCATTTATTGGCTTATTTGTTTATGTTGGATTTTGAGTTAGTTGCTGGTTAATAAACCCTTTACCTTTGAGTTAGGGTCCATATACCATTTTTCTTGAATATGGGTCTATAAAAACATTTATCTTGCTTTATTAAAACCTTTTTATTGTTTTGAATTGATATTGGAGGTTTGATTTGAGTGGAATGGTTTACATAATTACTTATTCCAAATGAATCAATGTCGTGTGTTCTCGGTAATCATTTCATTGTTTAACTTATTTTGACATGTGGTCACATTGAAGACTTTAGAGAGTGGGTAGAAATTAACGAATGAAATTAAGAAAGTCATGTTAATTGATCATTCCTCACTATTTTAAAGAAACTAAATATTTTTTTCAAATTCAGAACATTTATTTTTCGTACTTAAAGACTCTAAAATTGTTAGGATTATATATATTATTAATTGTTAAAAACTTGGTGAACTGGAACCTTTGCCAATTCTCATTTTTGCCACATTTTTTCTTTCATTTACTACTTTGGTCACACCAGTTGTTGTACTCTTTGTTTCTTTTTACTTAGCCGTCACTTTTATTTAAAAAGTTTTTTTTTAAAGACCGCCTTAAAAATTTGGTGATCGTTCTCTTCTACACTACTTTAACACCTTTATGTTTCCACCAGCCTTACCAATTAGATGCAAGAAACCCTTCTCCAACCTTCTTCTACTGGACCTTCACCCTTGCTTATGTCTATCGTCTGGGTTTGATTGTTTGACTTAATTGCGCCATTTATGTGATGATAGACTTTTGTGTTTCTTCAGAAGAAATCGTAGCTGATGGTAAGGACTGTGAAGAATCATCATCACGAAGAAGAAGAGGATGACGAAGATTTCATTTGGAGAACAACCGAGGGCTACTCACAGAAAGGTTTTTTTCCTCATAAACATATACATATTTTTTATAATTGAAATTGAACTTTTCAATTGAATGTACAGATGGAAAGATATATTCTCTCTTGCTTCCATTCCACTTCTGAATGACACACAGGCAAGCTCATCGCTTTTTTCCGGATGTTAGCCCATATTCTTGCCACCACCATCATATTCTATCATCTGGCTTTTGGTTGTTGGCTTCTTGATTTCGATCGTCATGCACAATTGGGTAGTAACAATCATAATCCAACCCCTGCTCCAATCTTTTTCTTTGTTCTTATTTCTAATTTCAAGTTCAAGACCTCAATATTTGTGTGCTTTCTGCAGTCGTGGATTTTCCATCTTGTGTGAAGTCAACGAAGAAGACGAAGGCCGGCTCCGCTGCTGGCTGTAGAGATTTCTGTTTTGGTGGTATCTCTTACTACCTGTGGTGCCCAATACAGTCCTAAATTCGATTTATTAGAAAAGGTTAGCAATCAGCATAATGTATTCAAACGATGCACTCCAAGTGTTTGTGAAAATGCCAATATCATTATTTTTTATTAATATATTGTGTGGCTGAGGAATCCAAAAATCCTTCTATAATTCTTACGAGTGAAATTTAACACCATTTGAAAGTGGTCCCAAAATTGAAAGGAATATGTGCAATTAGGACCAAAATTCCAAAAGTAAAAGTTTAGGTCTAAAGATTGCAAAAAACTTATGGAACTTAGACCCTTAGTGTTTAAGAAGTAAGTGGAAGCCATAAACGATTTCACCCACACCTTCAAAATCGCTGATCAGGTGCTAATTTGTATACCACATTCTTCACAAAATGTCTAAAATACCCTTTTCTTTATTTGGTTTGATGTAATTTCATTTTTTTTGTTATGTATAGTTTTTTTTGCAAGCAAAGGCAATATGTCCTTTGGATCCACTTGTGTATAATGAGCTTGAAGTTGTTGCTTATCATATGAAAGAGTACATATTCTTTACTCCGTTCTTTATTTGAGTAAACCAAAAAACTAACCATTTTGCCCTTTGGTGTATGTAGTATGTTACTTCTTCTACCTAAAATCCAAAAATGAGTATTTTGTCTGAAAAATATTCTTATAGCCAAGTTTTGTTTCAAATTTCGTTGACTTTTGGTTTTTTTTTAAATGACGCTTTTGCCCGTGGTTAAATTTTATAGGTATAAAAAGGCTGAATGGTGATCTAAAAAGACTTTGGCTCACATACCATCACCATTAAGCGAAATGTGGGAATCAACTGTGGTTAATCTTGCTCATACTTCAAGAAAACTCAAGTAACTTCGTATTTCATTTATTTTCATAATCGTTACAATTTATAAAAACTTATTATTTATAAAAGGTATCATCAATACATTTCAATTTGATATTTTTTTTTGTTTGTTGTTCTTTGAGTATTTTTATGGCCTTTTTTGAAAATCCAAAATATTTTTTGGTAGTTTATATGGATTTTAAAATTAGCATTAATATATTCTTTTGATCCTTGATATTCACCCTAATAAAAATGAAACATACTTTAAGAAAAAAAAATTGAGCTTTTTTCTAATCGTATTTTAGCGAATTTTTTGATGAGTTTATCGTCACCATCTGCTACCATTGCCATTACAATTTGTTTTTTTTGCCATTACAATTTGTTTTTTTTTTATTTAGTTTTAATTTTGATTCGCCATGAGAGCATACCTGTTCTACTTCCTTGAAGCAAAGTGAGTACATAGCACCCATCAAGATAGATGAATTGAACAAAGGTTGAAGATGTCTTGCATTTGCAAGTTATTTATAATTGGTAAACCTCCGTTCCTATTTAAGTTATAATAAATATAATACTTTATGGTTGTTTTTGTTATTTTATAAAGAATACAAGTTGAAGTTAATCAATTAGTGTTTTGGAAAAGTGAACAAAGATGAAAAACAGGAAACATTATAAGTTGTCTTTAATAGAAATGGAGCGGGAGTTTGGGTGCTAAGCAATTCCTTAAAATAAGAGTAGGACAAATGAAGGTGGAACCAATCCCACAATAACTATCTTTTTTGTTTTATTGTTATTTTTGTTGTTTAATAGTTAATTATGAATTAGAATATATTTTAATTTAGTAAATCAATTAATTTATATATTTTATTTGAATCATTACCCCCTCCAATTTATCCAAATATATTTTTTTAATAAAAAAGATTATATCTTTTTAAGTAAATCTTTCACTTTTTTCAAACAATTCAACCATGGAATGGAATCTCAGATTCCAATTCCATCAGAATTTGAGAACCAAACGAAGTTGTGGAACATGAATGAGATCCTTCCACCAATAAAGAATAAGATTTTTATTACTTTTAGGGTAAATTACACGGATGGTCCCTGTGGTTTGGGGTAACCTGTGCGCCTGGTCCCTGAGCAAGATTTTTAACTCGGATGATCCCTAATGGTAAAATTCATAACCCTCCTGGTCCCTCACTTAACATCCCGTCTAGTTTCTCCGTTAAAACACCCCACGTGCAAGGCACGTAGGGGTATTTTTATCTTTTTAATATTCTAGTGTTAAAACACCCCACTTGCACGCAGGGGTATTTTTGTCTTTTTAATATTCTAGTGTTACCGCCATGTTGTATACGAAGAGGCGATCATTTTGCTCTGTACTCCATCTTTTCATTCAGAAAACCCAGAAAAATTTCAACATTCCGATAAGAAAACCCTAATCGTGATATCTTCTCCTCTAAAACGCAATGGTGTTGTGGCGTATACGTGCAAATATGGAGGAAATCGATGTTGGACGTCGTTACTGTAAGTATTCTCTCACTCTCAATCTTCTATAACTTGGATTTTGTTGAAACCTTATCTGAAGTGGGCTATTTCACATGGGGGCATCCGACAATCTTTTCCATTAGGTTATACCATGGTGGAGAGTTCACCAAATTTCCTGGAAGAAAGTACATCAAAGGAAAACAAACGTATATAGACTTACTCGACATGGATACTTTCTCAGTGCATGACATTGATGAAATGATGGAACAGTTAGGCTATGTTGATGAAGGTATACCTTTGTACTATCACTTTAAACGACCTTTTTCAGATTTAGATTTCGGGTTATTTGCTTTGGGTAGTGATCAGGATGTGAGACATCTGGGTACCTTCATTTCCAAGCATAAGTTGATTGAAGTCTATATTGAGCATGGAAAAACCCAATTACATACGTACACAATGTCCCCAAATCAAGCAAAAGTTCAAATAAAGGAAATTATTGAACCTCCATCATGTTCTCGTAGGCTTTTCTTAGATTGGTATGATACTGGGGAGACAAATGTTGTTGGGGATGCTTCTAAAGAGGCTAATGTAATGGACGTCACTGGAGATGACAATATGGACATAACTGATAATGGGATAATAACAAGGAAGGAAATCCATGCGTTGAAGTTGAAATTGGGGACAAATTTGAGCACACGAATGAAGTTGAATTTAGGGATGGTAACAAGGGTGGAGAAGATCCATGGTCTGAATTTGAAAGTGGGGACATGTTTGAGGACATAAACGAAGAAGAATTTGGAAGTGGGGACAACTTTGACGATGATAGTGGTTATAAATCCAGTGAGTCCGATGATATAGACTTTTATGTTGACAATGACAACATCTTAGATGATGTAGAAGTTGACATGAATGATTTCAATGATAACATTGATATGGATGCAGAGTGGGTTGGAGGTATGAATGACAATGTGGTACAAGAAGAGAATGAAGTTGGAGAGCTTAATGAAGTACTAAATAACGAGGTACTTTTGTCAGGATCATCTTCGGATGAAGGTCCAGTTGGTCAACGAAAGAAGACCATCAAAGCTATCCAACGAGCTCATGAGAATGATGAAGCAAATGTTGCTGAACCATTTTATATCCTTCAAACCTTTAATACAGCCCAAGAGTTTAAAGAAAGAGTTAAAGTCCATGCTATTGAGACAAGAAGGGAACTTGGTTTTGAAAAAAATGACAAGAATAGGGTAAGAGTTGTGTGTAGGGGGACAATACCAAAACTGGGAAACTTAGACAAAAGTGGGGAAGGTCAACAAGAAGTCAACAATGAAGATGAAGAGAAGTGCCCGTGGAGCCTCTACGCTAGTAAATGGAAACGTGATATAAACTGGATGGTCAAGTCTTACAACAAAGAACATCGTTGTCTCCAAACTCGGAATGTTAAAGCGTGTACTTATAAGTTTCTTGCCAAAAAGATTACAACTCAGGTGGAATCTAACCCAACTATTCCAATTCGTGCTTTACAAGAACAACTGCAACGTGATTACCAAGTGGGACTTTCCAAGATGAAAGTGTTTAGGGCTAGAACTGAAGCTCTCAATCAGGTGCGAGGGGATTATGTTGGTCAGTATGCTCTATTGAGAGACTATGTTCAAGAACTTCAAAAACATAACCCAGACACGACTGTAAAGATTGATGTAGAGAGTGAACCAAATCCAAATTCAGAAACTAGAACTTTCAAGCGCATATACATCTGTCTTGGTCCTTTAAAAAAGGGATTTGCTGCTGGAAGAAGAGACTTTCTTGGTCTCGATGGTGCTTTTATGAAGGGTCCATACCCAGGACAAATACTTTCAGCTGTGGTAACCTTTTTTCATATGAACTACATTTATATTATAAAAAGTTGTATTTTAGGTTATTGATGGTGCTTTAATTGTAAATTTTTTACTTATGTAGGGAATTGATGGTAATAATGGAACATATCCACTGGCTTATGCTGTTGTGGAATCTGAGAGTACCAACTCATGGACTTGGTTTCTAACTTGTCTAGGGGATGATTTGGGTTTAGGAACAAACTCAAATTTTACGTTTATGACAGACAGACAAAAGGTATTAATTCGAATATCAAATTAATACATTATATATGATATACTTTTAATACAATTTTCCATTATATAGGGAGTGTTACCTGCTATAGCAAAGTTGTTTCCATGCGCTGAGCATCGTTATTGTCTTCGTCATATCCATGAAAACATGAAAGCTAATTGGAGGGCAAAGCAATTCAAAGACTTGCTATGGGATTGTGCAAAAGCATCTACTATTCAACAGTTTCAACGATCAATGGAGGAACTTAGAAAACTTAATAATGATGCGTATGAGTGGCTTAAAAACATTCCTCCTCAACATTGGTCTCGTTCACACTTTACAGGTAGATTTTAATGTTAGATCATTAGTTTGTAGCTGTGCAATATGTGTGAAACTCTAAATAGCTCATACATATTTTAATGATTTATTAGGTAGAGCTCATACAGATGCTATGCTTAACAATATGTGTGAATCTCTAAATAGCAAGATTGTTGAAGGTCGTGATGTACCAATCATTACATGTTTGGAGTACATTAGAGAGTACTTAGTGAAGAAAATTGTAACTGTGCAAAAGGAAATTGATAAAGCTGTAGGTCCCTTGACTCCTACAGCTACCATATGGGTTGAAAAACTGAAGAAAGAGGCTTCACAATTAAGGTCTGTTTTGTGGGAATGGGAAATATCAAGTCAGTAAAAATCTTTTGGAACAGTTTGTGGTAGATATGGGCCAACAAACATGTTCATGTAGAAGGTGGGAACTAATAGGGATACCATGTGCACATGCAATAGCATGTATGTGGGAGATGTTGAAGAACAAAGAAATTGATAAGATACCGAACATTGGGTCCATCGAACGTATTGGTTAGAAACATGGAAGAATATGTATTCTTTTACAATTCACCCAATCAATGGAAGGAACATGTGGGAGAAGTCTACATGCCCTACAACCTTACTCCCTCCAAAACACCATGTGCCCATTGGAAGACCAAAGAAAAAGAGAAGGAGATCTGCCATGGAGGTTGAGGATTTGGTGAAAGGTAACCAATTGTCAAGAGCACAAAAATCAGTGACATGTTCTAAGTGTAACAAAAGTGGGCATAATGCAAGGACTTGCAAGGGACAGAAGGCTGGTGGTTCTCAAACTTCAAGGAATGTTGGTGGATCACAAACTTCAAAGATTGTTGGTGGTGCTGGTAGTGAAAAAGTGAAGGTTGGAAGTGAAAAAGTGAAGGCTGGTGGATCACAAACTTCAAGGAATGTTAGTGGTGCTGGAAGTGCAAAAGTGAAGGATGGAAGTGCAAAAGTGAGGGCAAGTGTTAGCAAAAAAGGGAAAGGTGTCCCATAAATGTGGCTTTTAGGTGCTTATGTATTGTTTTGGTTGATGTTGACAAACATTGTCTTCTTTTGAACTAATTTATGTGTTGTGATGGTTATGTTGATTGCTTTTGAAAAACAATGGTGTAATTATAGTATCCAGTTTTAGAAATTTACTTTGCCTTTGAAAACAATGTAATCTTTTGATTGCTTTTATTTTGGTTATCTGTTTTGCTTATTTTGGTCATCTGCTTTTGGCATTGCTTTTATTTTGGTCATATGTTTTGCTTTTATTTTGGTCATCTGCTTTTGTCAATGTAATCTTTTGATTTCTTTTAGCAATGTAGTTTAACCAATGTCCCAAGATACATCACAAATTGTAAAATACAATCAAGTTCAACAAAATATCATTTTCATTGATAAAAGGGTACCCTTGATACAAATAAGATTCATTACAAGGCATTGTAAACAACTGCAACTACTTCAGTTGATCTTAAAACTAACACTACAACTTGTAAACAACTATCCCAAAAAACAAAAACCAACTGATTATTAACAATGCCTTCAGATTCCGATTTTGGACCTCAAGTTCTTGAATTTGGATTTCAAGCCCCTCATTTTTTATTTCCGCCTCATGACCATGCTTTTCTTCATCTACCCACTTAATAAAGCCAGACCTTGGTCCCTGTACTGTGAATAGCTTCGATTAGCACATACACATACTAGGGTTACAATAGAAAATCCCCCAAAACAATTCCAGCATCGTACCTCTAATGGGCAAGCATAAAATGCCCTACCTGGGTTTCTTTTCGTAGTTGAAGTACGTATAACGCCTATCGCACCACAATTGCATTTCACCATGTTTGATCGGCTGTGAGAAGAAAGGTGGGAGGAGAAGACTGCGATTGAGAAAGAAATGGGGGAAGAAGACAAATAAACCATGTTTAAAGAAGACTGGGTGACATGAAAAGACAAAAATACCCCTGCGTGCCTTGCACGTGGGGTGTTTTAACGGAGCAACTAGACGGGATGTTAAGTGAGGGACCAGGAGGGTTATGAATTTTACCATTAGGGATCATCCGAGTTAAAAATCTTGCTCAGGGACTAGGCGCGCAGGTTACCCCAAACCACAGGGACCATCCGTGTAATTTATCCTTAATTTTAATTTATCTCGATGATCGGTTCTAGTATTTTGATTATGCATCGTTTTTCCACAGATTACACCTAGCATGGAAGGTTCTATAGATATTGTTTCTTCTGGTCGTGGCTTGCAACAAATGGTAAATCATCTCAAAACATTTTAACTTTTTGGGTTCTTTTCTAGGGTAAAATACACTAAATAGCAACATACTTTCAATTATTTGTTTGTCATATGAAGACCCCTTCTATATATGTAATATGTTTTGATTAATATTATAGTATGTTCACCATTTGGTATAACTTGAAATTCGAAAAAAACAAACACAACGCCAACAGCGCGCATGATTCCCCTCTAGTTTAAAATCAATTGATTTTAAAAGGCATTTTTAAATAACCCTAGGGAGGAGTGTTTCATAAATTTAATTAGTTAAAATATATAATACATGACTAATATGGTAATTAACCATTATCTGAATTTTATCAACTCCTATAAAATATCTTTATCTCTACTAGCTTAACCTAAAGATTTCATCCCCTTCAAATAACCACTATATCACCGTCTCTCCCACCATTGGAACCGGACCGGTTCGGAACCAGAACCGGTATTACGATAACAAAAGAATCAGTAATCGGACTGCCGGTTCCAGTACCGGTTCCGGTCTCGGTTTTTGGTTATTTTTCCAAACAAGAACCGGTTAAAAATTAGGTGAAACTAAGGAGCTTTTCGGTTAAAATTAGATGCAACTAATTTAGATGTAATTCATAATACTTACAAGTTGTTAAGTTGGCTTCCAAAAAAACATAATACTCAATAATTAAGTTTCAAAAAACATAATATTCAATAATCAAGTTTCAAAAAAACATAGTACTGTTCAAAAAACAAACTCATCCCCACATATCAAATTTAATACAATTCAACCAATCAAGTTTAAACCAAAACAATTCTTCTAGCTATCATCTACTTCTCCATTGGTCTCTTTCCCATTGATTTGTCATTGCGTAAAGCTTCCTCAATCTCTATATAAAACACAAAACAAAAATGTTGTTAGCATTTACTAAAATGTAAAGTTCGTATAAAAATATGACAAGAATTGAAAGTACAAAATACTCATAGCTACTTCATCGTCATTTAAAATGTTGTCCACGTTATCTATTATAGGTTTTCTACTCTTTCTAACACAATCTTGGGTACACAACAAAGCTTCAACTATCACGTTCGATAAGTTAGCACGAGAGTCGGTTAAAACTCTACGCCTTGTGCTAAAGGCAGACTCTGATGCTACAGTTGAGATTTGTATCCCCAATATATCTGTTAAAAAATAAGTTATTGTTAAATGTAACATCATTAATTATTAAAAGAAATATGAAATATTAAAAAAAAAAAATCAATACCTTTTGCCATTCGAGCAACTATCGGGAATCTTAAACCATTAAGTTTCCACCAACTTAGGATATGAAAACTTTTGTTGTACATAACCTGGGGCTCTTTCATATATATAATTAATTCATTTTCCACTGCATCCAAGTTGTCACCTCCACTATTAAGGAAGTTGCCAAAAAAGTCATTATCATCATCACAATCAACGGATTGTTGAGAACTTTGTTGTTTAGAAGACCCGCTCATGTCGTATTTTTCCAAGTAGGTCTTAAAAAATTTCTCAATCTTCCTTTCGACCTCATAAAGCATTTCATATGCTTTCAATTCTATCTCCGACTTTGATAACTTTTCATCCTTGGAACCAATCATTTCTTTAAAAGTATAACAATAATTTGAGACTTCATTGTAGGATCTAGC